ACAAGTACAAAGAGTTGAGGAGGGAACTGAATGGAGAAGTAATGGAGTTGTTACTATGGCTCCAAGTGCAGCATGAGAGGAGGCCTGTGTAAGGCCGAACAAAGTAGGATTTTGCTTGCTAATAGCCCATAAACAGTGTGGAGGCAGGCGGTTTGGGATGGAGGACAACTTTTGAGCTCGAGGAGTTCGGTGCCGCAGCGGCTGAGGGTTCGACGTATTCTGAAACATAGGTTTAGGATTTAGATGGGGTTTAGGGCAAAAAGTGAGGTTTCCGTCAGGCCCCGTTTTGCAGGTTGCTAAAACTCACCTGGAGCTCTCCAACAGTTGGAGGGTGCCTGAAGAAAGGGTTACAGTCTAGAGGGGTTTGGGGTTGAGGGACCCAATGCTTCCCTTTGAAACATCTCAGCCATGGTTTGGGGTTCAGGGTTTAGGTTTTAGGGTTAGCGTGTAGGTTTTAAGGTTTACTACTGGCCAAGGTTACGTATACAATCCTCTGGCAAAACTCCAAATGCCTCGTCCTCTCGGTCCCCGTATGTCTTGTTGTTGAACCATATTACACATGTTTGTCAGGTTTTGTGTATATGCATGAAGTCAACGTATAAAAGCTGATGACTTGCTGTAGTACCTCAACCGAATTCAATTTCTTGAGTGCTTTGGACCATCATTGAAGTCTCACGGTACATGGGAAACACTCCAAAAACTATAGCCGGTACCGAAACCCAAGGCCTTTCTATACCAACAACCCCTATAATTCAACGCTCCTACCTTTGTGGACCTACCTCCTTTTCACACAACAGCAGTTGTATCTCTCTACGCTACACATCGCTACAACCTGAAAAAACCCTAAAGCCCGACAGCGGAAGATCATCCGAGAGGGGTAGGGGATCTGGTAGCGCCAGTAGGCAGACTGATTTGAAGCCTTGGCTTGCATGGCTTCTGGAGGGGAAGTCTTTGAGGACCTGTGCCTTTAAGGGCCTCTTCTTGGGATCCATGCCACGAAGAAAAGGTCCGAGAAAAAACAAATCAAACCTAAAACCCAAGCCCTAAAACCCGAATATGTGAACCCTAAAACCCAAACCTGAGACCTTCAACCTCAAAAACTAAACCCTAAAACCTAAACCCTATAACCTCAACCCTAAACTCCATGGAACCTACATCCTCTCCTTTGTCCCTAGAGCGAGGCTACCCACAAGCTGCCCAAAAGGAGAGCGAGGAGGCTGGGGTTCTGCCTTCAGGGTTTAGGATTTAGGGTTTAGGGTTGAGGGTTTAGGATTGAGGATTTAGGGTTGAGGATTTAGGGGTTTAGGGGTTTAGGGATGTTATAGGGCTTATGGATGTTTTGGGTTTAGGGTTTGGGGAGGGTGTGCACTTTGAAGCTTGATTAACCATCGGGGTCTAAGTCTGTAAGCTACACCAGCTGTGCACCCTGAAGTCCCTAGATAACACCAACTTTTAGCCTTATGTTTACACAATGTATTTACGTTGCATCCCAGAGGTTCTAGGCCGTACATACTTTGTAAGTAAGAGCAATGGACAATCCTCTGGCTAAGTTGTGCTGTTCTTGGTTCCTAGTTTTAGGGATCCCCTGGAGATCTCATTTTGGTACCCCTAAATATGAGATGCACAAGTTACATATGATTTTTCTACCCAAGAGGGGCCCATATTTTTCAGAATAACCCACGTAATATCTTCCACGGGTCTCATGCAACTGTCCATAAAGAACCCTTTTCATGCGAAGGCCGGTGGTACCCTTTTAGTTAAACGATTAACCCATAAGAAGAAGGGCGTCCGTATTGTAACGTGTTTTGCTGCTTTCCCAATTTCTGAACCTTTATACCTAGACCCTCCTCCTACCCTCTGTTAGGGCCTACGTACCTACTATTAGGGGCCATATATCCCCAATTAAGGGTACAAGGAGGGTCCTGGTATTGTGTTCCTCCGTACTCCTCCATGTGAGCCTTGTTTGTTCACTAGACTGGGTTGCTGTTAAGGAACTTAAATTAAGTTACTCTATTGGGGAAACCCTATTATTTACTATATATGCCCATTATGGTAACCCTAAACCCTGAACCCTAAACCCTACTAGACCACAGCCAGGAGGAAGAGAGCGAAGATGAGCAGCAAGAAGACATCCGTGGCCGCAGGCTCCCAGCCGCTGACCCAATATAGAGGCCTAAATGGTTTAGGGTTTAGGGTAATAATTACTTAGGTGGACCCCCCACCCAGTAATAGTGACTATAAGGGATAATGGTAATTATATTAGGGTAGTCCTATTATACCACCATTACAGGGTGGGTGGGGGGGGGGTCCTCCTAAATAATTACCAACTTTATAGCGCCATATTCCTATATAGTTATGGTCTATGGTACCACAAATGGACCTCAAGATGATATTGGTAATTATGTAGGCCCCTGTAGTAAGAGGTATTTTGGGGAGGCGTCTTTGCATCCTAGGCCTAACTTGGAGTTTAGGATTGGGTGCTCTGCCACCCAGTTGTATCCACAAAGGAAAAAAACTAGCTGTCTTCCTGGAGTCGAACAAGAAGAATATTTTCTTGCCAACTTTACACATGGCTCAAATGTAACAGGCAAAATCTGGGACCAGTGGTCACAGGATGGCCCCGAAGCCTAACACCCAAGCCCTGAAACCTAATGACAAATGCCGGAACCCACAAACCTACACCATGTAACCTAAAACCTAAACCCATCAAGCCTAAACCCTAAAAGCTTAACACCTAAACTCTACACCCTACAACCTGAACTTATGTTTGTAGCAGCCAGGGCCCAAAAGAAAGAGCAGCAAATGGCAGCGGCGCTGCAGAGGCTACAGGACACTCCCGTGGGGTGTGGTACACTTTGGGTACTGCCCCACTCAGTAACAGTTGGATAATAGTTTTAATATGGCTATATATAGCCCTTAATAGGACCCCTAATATAGACTGTTACTGGGTGGGGGCAGTACCCAAGGTACACTTCCGGTTTAGGGTTTAGGGTTTACGGTTCAATTTAGAGGGTCATAGGGTGTAGAGTTACAGAGTGTAGGAATTCGGGTTTAGGGTCTAGGGTTCAGGATTTAGGCTTTAGGGTGTAGGGGCTGTTATATCAGAACTATAGGGGATGGTCCTTGTTTTGACTTATGTGGAGGTATTTTGTAAAAAAGGAGAAGTGGTTACCCTAAACCCTAAATGTCTGGAATTTTAGTCTGGACGGCCTGGGGTTTATGGGGCTTTGGCTTGCTGATGGTCAGTAAATCTGGATCTGCCAGGAAAGAGAAGCCGAGCCCGTCCACTCCTCAGTCTATAGGGTGTTTACGCGATTTGGTGTTGAGGGCTTAGGGGTTTATTGTTTGGGGGTTTGGGGGTTAAGGGTTCAGGGGGCTTAGGGTTCAGGGGGTTAGGGTAGCTGCTGATTCCAAGCTGGGTAGGGAGTTGCTTCAAACAAGGGATAGGTCGGGATATACCTTCATAAGGGAGGGACCCTACCACTATGGGCTATTAGACCTTAAGGGTACCCTAATCTACCCTTAATAGGGTCCTAATAGGGAATTTTGGGGTCTAATAGCCCATAGTGGTAAACCCTAAACCCAAATAAGTGGAGAGGCGTCCTGCCGGAAGAAGATGAAGGGCTCTGTTTCGAGAATTTTTTGGCCTTGCCAACGGGGTTCATGTAGGAACAGCGTTTCTTTTAGTTAGGGACCAGAGAGTTTCCCATATACCTACTTTGGGGGAACCAAGTAAATACTATGTAGCTACATGGACCCTTGAGGTTGGGTTTGGGTTTGGTGTACGGAGGTTAGGGGACAAGTGTTCTTGGCCCTAAAACCCTAAAGGAACCCCTAAACCCTAAACCCTAAAGCCCTTAAGATCTCGGCCTGCCCCGTTTGCGGAGAGAGCTCGGCGAATCTCACCTGGGGAAACTACTAGGTATTGGGGGTTGCTGGGGAACATGGGAAAATATTATCAAGAATATGGAGTATATTCCCGTATTCCCTGCTAATTCATACTAACTCCCCGTGAGACTAGGTACAAGTAGTTTTGCAAGCATACGTACAGCAAACAGGACCATAATGCGCAAAGAAGGAAGGTGGAATGAAGATGGTCAAACTTGTGTCCGGACCTACGAATCTACCCACCCTCAGATTTTTGCAACCCGGCCTTCTCTATGAACTGCGGTGGATGCAGGGAATCTTGCGCCCCTTGGGATCACCAAAATCTTGTAGGTATTGGGGTATAGGGTAAGGGTCTAGTGTTTAGGGGCAAGATCTCCTCCATCCACATTAAGTCCGTAGATTGCTCGTGACGTTTGATCAATGCCCCACATGCATCCACGTCCTGAATTGAAATATATTGCAGTAGGACGAAAGTTCGACCCATTATCCTGAAGACACTTGCCACTATTAGCCCCTTCTCCCCCATAGACCCCTCCACAAGGGCCGCTGAAGAGTCCTGGCACGTTTCATTGTATAGCTTGAAAACGAGTATTAAATTTCTCCACAACATGGCCTATGTAAACTGCACGTTTTGAGTATGCTAGGGCTCGTTTACGTTAAAAGGCCTCAGTAGGTCATTCGGTCATGCTGATGTAATGAGAGCTCTTTGTCCCCAGCAGAAGAACAACCCCCTGAAAATCCTTAAGGGTCCAAGTACCCAATAATCATGCCATATACTTACCAAAACCTGTGTTACAACTACTAGTGCCCAGATCCCAAGTACCTAATTCTGAGGTACATGGACCCTTGGAGAATGCTGTAGAGTATCAAAGAAGGGATTAAAAGTCTGACATCACCCGAGATCTCGGCAAAACCTCTGCAAATCCTGCATAAGCCTAAGTACCTTATACTTGAGAAATTATGAGATTATAGTCTGCTATGGTCCTGCAGGATTTGTTAGTAACAACGGAAACTCCCCCTGAACTTCCAAACCCTAAGCTCTGTCCGCTGCAGCACGTTTCCTCAAAGATGGGGCTCAATGTTAGCCTTGGTTGAGAGTCGCGGCCTGGACCATGCCGGTGGCCGACATAGACTCTCCGATGTAAGGTTTTAGGGTTTTAGGGTTTTAGGGTTGGGGTTTGGGGCTCCGGACTTGGGGTTTAGGGTCTGGGACCTAGACTCTCCGATTTGGGGTTTTAGGGTTTATGGTTTAGGGCTCAGGATTTAGGGTTTAGGGTTTAGGACATACAGACTCTTATTGACAGCCAGTAGACTGCAATTTAAAGTTTAGATGGTTGTTATCAAAAAATCTGAGTAGTATCTTTTTTGGTGGCTACTATGGTGCCCAATATAGAGTAATATTATATCCTCCTTTTGGGTATAGTATTCGATGTAAAGAATATAATCTTTCTGGGTTCAACCACCAAAAAAAACGCCTCCCGTCTGTTCTTTCTGCATAATAACCAAGTAATTTGAGTATCTCGGGGGCCTTGGTAAGTAGTTGACCCTTATTTAGGGTTATCATAGAGGATATCGGCTCTGCTAGTAACCCTAAACCCTAAACCCTGTTGGCTGCGTCCCTCGCACCATCTAACTAGGCTTTGGAGTTCAGTTCAGAGCTAGCCGGTTGAGTGGGCTGTAGGAGGTGGGGTTTAGGGTTTACGCGATTTAGAGTTTAGGATTCAGGGCTGAGAGTTTAGGATGCAGGGTTTGGGTGTGTCCTCTAGGACTTGAAGGATCGAGCAATGCGGGCACCATTATATAACCCAAACCGAATTAGAGATGTTTGGAGAGGTTCGGGGTGTAGCGGCTGTGCGGCTTTACCAGGTTCTTGGGGTGTAGGGCTTCAAGGGGGTTTAGGGTGCACTAACCCTTAGCCCTACTAAACCCTCCTCAACCAAGTGTAGTATAGCGGGTTCGGGTTTAGGTGTTTCTGCGGCTGAAAACGTGGCAGTTGATCCACAACAGAGACCCCCCACTGCTGGTCCGAAAGCCCCGTACGTCCCTCGACCCCTTCAGGGTTTTGACCCTAAACCCCTGAGCCCTAAACCTCATAGATGTTTTTTTGGTCTCGGCTCCGGGGAACCATGGCTTGATATGTCTTGAACACGTGAGCTACAGGGTCTATGCTCAGGAATTAAGTTCAAGTTACCCGGATAGAGATATACAGCAAATGCCTAAGAGAACATTACGGTAACCGACTTGGAGCTCCTAAACCTGGGGTTCTAAGAATTTGGGGTTTAGGGTTTAGGGTTTCATGTTTCGTTGGAATGTGATTTCAGTGATGTCTGTATTTCAGGCGTGCTGCGTGCCTCTAACATTGCCATGTACTTTCTTCGTGTAGTTCGGAATTGTGTTCTTGTTTTACTCTTAACCACAAAGCAATACCACTACCGCAGCCCAGGACTACAAGGAGTATTTTACGGCCGAGAAGATTGCTGATTTAAAAGAGTCCTTTGACAGCTTCGATTCTTCTGGAGATGGCAGGATAGGAGCAGATGAGCTGTATGGTATGTTCAAGAAGCTGGGCAAGAATCTGACTCGGTCACAGATTCGAGAAGTCATGCGCGAGGTGGATGCAGATGGGAGCGGTGAAATTGAGTCTTTCGGATCACACTCACATATGAGCCATAGTCTAAACTCCTTGAAGGGGGGTTATATAGGGGATTATATGGGGAACTATTATGGGGCTTATTAAGGGGGATACTAGGAGTTTCGACAATGGCTCATATGTGCCATTTTGTATTTAATTGACATGCGCAAGTCCAGTAGTTCTGACAATTACAGTGACCCACGATAACCCATACAACTTATTCCTGATCCCCTAATAGAGTTCAAGCATCCACTGATCATAAACCCGAAACCCCTAAATCCCTGAACCCTAACCCCTATAAACCTTCCCCAAAAGTTCTAATACTAGGACCAGGATTCTACTCGTAGCACCCGAATCCCAAATGCGCAGTTAGTAGGTACTTAAAAGCCTGAAGGATCCCCTCCGACACCGAACCTAAACCCCTAAACCCTTAAAACCTAAACCCTTAAAACCTAAACCCCTAAACCTCTAAACCCATAACCAGGGTTTAGGGTTCAGGGTTAAACCCTAAACCCCTAAACCCCTAAAACCCTGACCCCATGCCAACCTAGGTTTGAAGAGCTTTGCATACTCGAAATCAAGATGGCGCGAGCTCGTCCGAGGGCTGACCTTATCGACTACAATGACTATCTGGATGGCAAAACGATCCAGAAGTTAGAGGAGGCTAATGTAGGATTTGGGGGCTTAAGGGTTCAGGATTGAGGGTTTAGGGTTTAGGGCTTAGGATTTAGGGTTTGGCTTATATATGTAGATATGTAGAGATGTGTGTGTGTATATATATATATACACACACACGGAGGGTTGAGGATGTAGGGTTCAGAGAAACTTTACACCCAGAAGTGATTACATGAGAAGTATAAAGGGTTATAGTCCCCCTTAAGCAGATAGGATATGGGGTATATGGGGATCTTGTTATAATATACCCAAAGCCATATTCCATCAGGTTTAAGGATGTCAGCCCCAGTGTATGGAGAATCAAACGCATAAGAAGACTGGCAAACAACATGGAATCTGCGGGTATATAAGAGTTTGTGGAGGTTATGTATTGTAGAAACCTGAATGGTTTATTTTATCATAGTTCCACACGCCTTGGATATGTATTATCTAGGATACCTTAAATACTGATTTTGGTACTGAGTAAGGCCTCTGCCTTATAGTCCCTTTAAGTAGATAGAACATGGAACCATCCAATATCATAAGAATATCCCCGTACACCCCATATTCTATCCACCTAAGCGGGACTATACCCTAGTCCCCCTTAAGTAGTAAGGCTCCCTGAACTGTCCTTTGGGAAAATTCGGGTTTTGAGGGCTGAGGCTTAAGATCTGAATTTGAGAGTCCAAGTGCCTTAGGGTTTAGGCTTTGGGGTTTGGGGGTTAGAGCTTTAGGGCTCAGGGGTTTAGAGGTGAAGGTTCAGGGCTTAGGGGTTTAGGGTTCAGGGTTTAAGGGCTTAGGGCTTAGGGTGTGAGGTAGGCCCCTAACAATTAGAGCCCTTTCTATTTGGGGACAAAACCCCAAACCTTAAACCCTAAGCTCTAAAGCCCAAACCCTAAACCCTGAACCCTGATAGAGAGGCCTTTGACCGGTTGGACGCTGACTCGCGCGGATATGTCTCGGTGTTCGAGATGAAAGGCTTTCTAGAGGCGCCAAAGAGTGTCTGATAAAGGTTTAGGGCTTAGGGCTTAGGATTTAGGATTTAGGGTTTAGTGTTTAGGGTGTAGGGTATAGGGTTATGAGGAAATGCAAGATTGAGGCAGGTCCGTGTCAACAGCCGGAATGGTATGTGTAGAAGGATTGTTGTCTTGGGTTCGTATCTAGATTGCGCTAGATAGTTCTGGCAGTGCAACATGGACAGGTCAACATTCAGGCAGAAATCTGCAGAACCAGAATAATAGTAGCAATAGTAGCAATAGTAATGATAATAGTAATAATAGTAGCAGTAATAGTAATAAGAACAACAAGGAAAGGTGCAGTTCGTGTGGATCGGTCATGGTTCAGTACAGGGACGTAATGATTGCAACGGATATTTCAAGATATCACCTGGGCAAACCTTTCCCACCAAGCTGAGCACCTAAGCCCTCCAAAGCGTCAAGCTGAACCCCCAACACCCAGAACCCATCAACCGCCCAAAGCCCTCAAACCCATCACCCTGGGCCCCAAATACTAAGATCCTTCAACCCTAACCACCCTACAGCCCCCCCTCAAACCCTTGGGGTTTCAAGGTTTTTATTTTCCATTATCCGCATATATCCCCAATATATCCCCTATATACCCCCAAACAAACATTTACTTTGACAAATCCCTGCATCTCAACCCGATGAGTGTCCAAGGTCCTGGCTGCAGTCGGGCGGCGCTGCCCTTGGACAGCAGTTAGAAATTAGTTGGATCCGCTCCCTGCATTCACAAATTTAGTCCCTGTTTGCCAGAATAGGGATTTGGGCATATCACCCTGTAGATCAGAGACTCTAGTCAGAGAGAGTATCAACCTGTCTAACTTGGAACAGTCACGGCTTTGGGATGGGAATTCAAGCGGTTTAGGGGCTACCTTCGTCCAAGCCAACGTGGAACCTGGAGAAGACACCCTACAAGGGCTAATGTTCTGCTTATGTTGAGTTCCATTCTGTTCGGGTACTGAAATACTGCATGGTTGAGGAGTTAATCTGGACAGACAAGCCCCTGTGTCCCACCCTGCAGCCATACGTCACATGAGAGCCAGCGCCTGAAGAGTAGACTAGCCTCAGGGACTTGCCGACAACTGGACTGAAGGTTGCTTGTAATTCGAAACAAGGGTCTTCGTCTCAAGAACTTCAGCTCCTGGATGTATGCGCTGAGCCGTTAATGCTAGTGGGGTTTTCAGCATCCAGACGGTTGACAAGCACTCTCTCCAGCCAGCCGCATGGAGAAAGACTCGTTGAAGTGCTTCGCGATGGTGGGAGGTAGCCCAAAGAGACTTTAACCTGAACAATTGCATCATTTTCCTTTTATTATGGTCTGCATGTCCACAGGCCCTGTGTAGGCTCCTACATTATCCCCGCAACCTACATGGAACCACCAAACAGGCTCTGTGAAGTCTGAGAAGGCCCGTAGCAGGGTAATGTTGTGATATGAGGTCTACATTACATTGACGTTCCCTAAGGGTACCCGCCTGATAACTGCCTGTCTGGGGTGTCCTTGATAGCGGTGCTTAAGGGGGAGTGGCGGGTGACGCTTTCTTTGAAACTATCAACGTAATTGGTAGCGTGCTCAAAATTTGTCTGACGCACCACGGGTTGCAGGCCCCAAAGTGCCACGACAAGAAGGCCGCATGCCGAGTTTCTGAGGGTTTCAGAGCTTAGGGCTTAAGGTTCGTAGACCCTAACCCCTATATATAGTCCCATTATAATCGCCTCCATTTTTTCCATTATCCCAATACAACCCCAATATAACCCTAACATTACCCCAATAACGGCATCGGGGGGTTGGGCTTGCGATGCAGAATCCTTTCAGGCTTGCTAAGTCCTCGCGACACAATATTTCGTTCGGGCCTTTCTTTTGGCAATCCTGAGAAAACAACACATTGTATTCAGTTTGTGACTCCTGCTAGTTTGAGCAGGGTAGGAAAGTAGATGGACGGGTTACAATAGTGTTCTTGAGCTCTTCTTGGACGAAAGCCATGTGTGCCTCGTTGCAGGAATGACAGCTTCAGTGCAGATCTCCGCAACCCTTCTAATGCCCTCCCCTTGGTGATGCCCCCCACCCCTAACAATCATGAATACGATTATCCCCCCAAGAATTCATGGCGTTGTAGTAGGGATTGATTATGCACAGGGTGCATGGTTTTAAGGTTCACGGGGCAGGTGATTTGAAACCAGATCGTCAATTCTAGGGTTCACTCAAGTTCGCGCATGTTTATATGCCGCTTTCCGCGAGGGCAGGCACAATGCGTTGAGTTCGCATCTCCGCCCACCAGAAAACCCTAAACCCTAGGCCCTAAAACTCACAAATGGGCCAAAAAACCGCAAGGCTGCAAACCCTAAGCCACAAGCCCCTCAACACCTAAACCGCGCATCTACAACACCTCTCAAAGCTTTAGGGTCTATGGTTTAATGTTTTTGAATTGGTAATAAGTCTCCAGCCCGTACACGGATCTGAGTAAGTATCATTCTTCCGAAGCCCCTTTCATCGTATTTGACCTCACATGCTGCACTGATTCAGGAAGTATCTAACGTGTGACTTCAAAGTTAGTACTTGCAGCTGCACTTCTAACCCAATTATGTGTCCCCTAAGTCCCCCTAAGTTTGCTCAGTATGGTGATATTTGGCGTATGGATACAGTTGTAAGCGTGTCTAAATCACCCCTCCAAGTACCTAGACCCGGCAGCTGTAGCTCGTTGCAGACATGAGAGACGGTTCTCCCGAACTGTAAGGCCCTTGAGCTGCCCTTGAACCTAAACCAAACACTAAACCGGAAAATCAAGACCAGAAGATTAAGGGTGTATAAACGGTTGACATTTACTCCTGGCCTTCCCCACCGCACTAATAGCAAAAGGACAAACCAAAAACCTAAGCTAAGAAGAGATATGTGGCAACCCCAAACCCCTAGAATATGGGCCCTGTAAGAAACATACGATAGCTTTAGGATCCTTCTTTTAGGATCCTTCTTTTGCAGCTGGGGTAGCCAACATCTCCTGAACAACAGCGCTTTCTGTGGCCAAGGTGGTGAACTCGGCGTCTGACAAATTCCTCTCCTGCCCGAAGGAAGTGGGATTTAATATCAGCATTTTGGGTTGAAGGTTTGGGGATATTGATAGTACGCCAAGCATGGAGAGATCCAAGACAGGAACATTTAAAATGGCATGAAAGCTGGGATGATACAGGGATTTAGGATGATTTAGGACCTGGGGGCTAGGTGGTTTTTTTGTTCCGAGA